ACAATTATTCAATTAATCTCAAATTGAAATTAAACACAAAATAATGTATGACTTTGAGAAATAAAGAAATAGAGATCAAATTTAGGTTTATTAATACTCTTTCATGCTAAAAGACAAACTTGAATCTAACTTATCACTTAGCTCAACAATATTTTTTTTTTCAAATGTTAGAATCGAAAGTATCATGGAAAAGTATTATAACTAAATTTACCTCATTTGTAAAAGCAAACAAGCATGTGTTAGAGTATATTTAAGATATGTAACATCATTTAGAGAAAGAAAACACAATGATACAAAGCTATTTTATCTTCAAATATTTTCTTAAATATTTCCTATCCATACTTAAACTTTTAAAACTTCCAAATTTTCTTATTTCAAATACAAGGAATTATCATCAAGGATCACTTTTATGATAGATATCTACACACATATTTGTTCCAGGAATTTAGAATAGGGACGAGATAAGACAAAAAAAAAAAACAAGTAGAGCGTACCAATAGCAGAGCAGAGAAGAGAGAAAAAAACACCAGCAAATCAAACTTGTGATGGAATGGAAACAACTAGTTAGCTCCCAGTCACGCTTCTAAAATGAAATGCTGATCTTTCCTACATGCAAGACAGCCTTCGTTCTTTTTGCAGAGAAAAAAAACCCCTCCTCCTTTGCCTCTTGTCCTCCTCTTCTTCTCGGTACATTCCCACCTCAAAAATCCGTAGCCAAAATCACAGGTCCTCTTCTTTTTTCTTTCGATCAGCTCCCTCCATCACTAATGCCACCGTTTTCTTTTTTATTCATGCATGTCTAGCTTTTTCTCTTTTTCTTTTTCTCTCTACTTTCTCTCTTTTTCGTCTATGCTGTGTGCTCTATTTTTTCCTTTTTTTTTCTATAACGTGTCTCTATCCCGCTGCTCTCTCTCCTTTTGGTCTCTCTTCTTTCTCCAACCTCTTCTCCGTCTCACTCTCCTCTCTCTCTCAGTCTATAGTTCTTCTTTTTTTGGTTTTTTCATCTCGGTCTCTCCCTTCTCTTCCTCTTTCTCGGTGCTCTATTTCTCATCCAGTTTCCTTTCCTCAATTTTCCTCTCCTTCTTCTGAGTTTCCTCGTCTAGCCGAAGTCTCGTGACTCTATTTTTCTTCTCCCTTATTTCTGTGCCTCTCCTCTCTAGTTTTTCTCGTTTGTTTTGTTTGGTTTTTTCTTTTCAAGTTTTCTCATCTCGATGCTTTGTTTTTGCCTTCTTCGTGCTCTCTTACTCTTCAGTTTCAGTCCCTCTCTTCTTCTCTTCTCTCTTCTACATCTTTGGCCCTATTCTCACGCCCCCCTTGCATGACAATGTTTCTGGTTCTTTTATTTCGCTATGCACATCTTTTTTTCCTTCCACTTGCGTGCATGCGTGGCTGTGTTTTTGCTTTGCTTTTGCTTTTTTCTACAGCTTGCATCTCTGTGTTTTCTTCAGCGTGTACGTCTGGTATCTCTCTCTGCGTTGCTGTGTTTGTGCATGTTCCGTGTATGTGTGAGGCTGCTCTGCTCTCTGCTATTCTTGCTTTTGCTATAATGCTTGCTTTTTGGCTTTCTGCGTTTTTTTCTCTATGTGTATTTGGCTTTCTTTCTGCATCTGACTTCTCATCCCTGTGTGTGTGGCATCAAATCCAAATGCTTCATATATATATATATATATGTATATATCTCACACTTTGCTATTAGTTAGCAGCTTCTGATCATAGAAAGTTTGTTGTACTCTCACTACTAGTTCCTCCAGACTTAGCTGACACTCCAACCCTATCTTAACAACAAAGTGGTATAGGACTGTATCCTCCATGCTGTTGATGTTGAGATGAAGAACTTGAAAAGATAGCCTCTCAAGAATAATGATTATCTTTGAGACTTGACCTGGAATTCTATGTGAGATAACTCTCAGGATTACATTTGAGCCTAAGATTTTCACTTGCACATCTACAACTGAAGAATTGCAACTCGCTGCTCCTACATCCTCCTTCAAGCTACTTGCTAATGATGGTGATAATGGGCTAGGGCTTACACTCTTTCTTTTTGTTTTCTTCGATTTCAGAACTTCTAGAACTTGAAAGAAATTCAAAAGAAGTTGACTCAAAAAATTAGTTCCTAATATGGTTGGAATAATTTTAGAGAGATTTTTTAAAAAGATTTAAGAAAAATTTCATTTAATTTTGTTAAATTATTATTACTTTTTTTAAATATAATTCAAAAAAGGATTAAATTTTATTTTTATACTTATATATATATATTGGTTATTTTAATGAACTAAAAGAAATAAAATCTTAATCAACAAAAAATTATATAGGATAAAATAAAAATTAAACCCTATTAATTATTTTTTTGAAATATAATCCTAAAAAGGATTAAATTTTATTTTTGTATTTTTATATATTTTTGGTTTTTTTATTTTTATTTTTGTTAAATTTAAAAAATGCCCGGACAAAATACAGTGTTCACAAGGAGAAGAGAGTTTGGATTTGAAAATGACAAGAATTGCTCCATCTTGCATTCACAATCCATGTAATTTCGTGTCTCATTTACACTTGCATTGACAATCACAACTTCAGTTACTAAAATAACAACTATGCTATAGCAAATAATAACTTTCTTTACAGGAATTAAATATAGTAACTTACATTGGTGCTTCCTCAATTGTTTCTTCATTGCCATTTCCTTTACAACCTATATATACATGATTGCTTCCAACATTATGCTCAAATAGGGTAGCAATACCACTATCATCAACAAGGTCTATAAAGGTCATTTCATCATATCTCAGTATATTTCATGTCGCTCAAATTAGTGTCAATGCCAAAACAAGATGATATCATTATTTGAATTGCCATCCCTTCTCTTATCATTTTCATACTCACACTCCTCCCATCATATTGTATTTTATATTCAATATTTTTTTACAAAATGTCCCCCTATGTGGAAATAACAAAATAATTCCTTTCTAAAATAAGAAGAAGAAGTCATTTCTCATGCCAACTTGAAATAATGAAATAATCATTCATCAACATGTCTATTTTTTAAACATCATGATCACATATCTATTATATTTTATCCAATAACAACTATTGTTCTTATATTTATAACTTTGTATTTATTATTTACAACTTTTGCTTTATGCATTTACAATAGAACTGAAAATGACATATTATTGGTCATCTATCATTTATCATTTATCCATATTGAGTAAGCATTAGTACCCACGTTTTTCAACTTCAAGCATGAAGAGAAAATGAAGACCTCAATCATTTATATACAATAACCCACATCAACTTCAACTATCACATATGGGAGGAAAAAATTTCAAGGAGGAGAGGAAATACACTCATATACAGCAGACCCAACAGAGGAAGATTGCATACTAATATATACCCACATGCAGTAGCCAATCAACGCAAACAACCCATGTACAGAAACTTAAAAAAAGGAACGCCAAAACAAGAACAAGAAGGATAGGAGAAGAAAGAGAAGGAGAAGGAGAAGAGAAGGAGATGGAGAAGCAGAGGGAGAGGGAGACAGACCAATACCACAAGCTAGAGAAGATGAGAACATAAATAACATTAATTAGAGCCTAAATACGCGGGAATTTTTCTTCAGTGAGGATTGGAATTTTTATTTACTTTGAGAGTAATTTGATCATTTCATTTAATTTCCTAATGACAAAAAGATCCCAAGAAACTTTAGGGGAATTATATCATTTTGTGGGACTAATCTGTCAATTGGCTATTTTAAATGAATTTTTCTGTCATTTTCCCTTAATTATTCAATTTATCATGCTAAAATCTTGATATCTAATTGTTATTATTAAAATGATAATTATATTTTTAATAAATTAATTATTTTTTAAATAAAAGAATAAGAGATTAAATTTAAAGTAGTATGGTCAAATAATATTTCATTTTTCCAATTTATTTTTCAAAAGCTTTGTTATTTTAAATTGGTTAAAAGCATATTCAATGATATCTGAAAGTGATTTTTTAAATTGATTTCTTAAAAAAGATTAGAAATTAAATAACATCTGACTTTTAAAAATTAGAAAAGCTTTTTCTGAATGTTAAAAACTATAAAACCAAACAGACCCTTACAATATAGTGAGGATTTTTATCATGTTCTTGGTGGTTTATGCTGTGGGAAATCACGTATAATCAGTGTATAAATATTTATCATATTCTTAATGATTCTTAGCGGTTCTTCTCCCGCTTTGGCCAAACAAAAGTTTAATTAAAAAATATTTAAGTCTCAATTAAATTAATAACAGTGGAGTCTTGAAAAAATTGTCGAAAAATGAGTTGTAAATGTTAATTTACACCGTTACAAGTATGAATTTCCATTAGTAGTCGGCTATCAAGTTTTCATGGACACTTGTAAGAATAATTTACAATCAAAAATCTCAAATTTGTGACTATTTAAATTAACATTTATAATTATTCATTCAGTAATATCTTTGATATTTAAATGTTATTAAATTAAACTTTTTGAAAACTCATTTTGTCATTTATAAGTGGGAAAGACGGTCCCAATCCCCTCAGAATATACTGTTCTTTACCAACAAATTTAATTATTTTATAAAATAATTATCATAAAAAATAAATAAATTTAAACCGTTAAATTTTAACGTTTACAATTTATAGTTGTATATAATTATGGGGAACTTACAATGCAGCCCTTGAAACAAAAAATATATATATATACTTTAGGCTTAATACATTATGATATTACACTGCAAATCCAAGGGTTCTTGTTGTAATTTTTCTTAGGTGTGAAAGTACAATTATACTTTTATATGATTTGAAAACTCAACCTGTGCAAATTCCTCATCTACAAAACATAACATGATGTTCATGAATTCTTAACAAAATGTCAATGCGTGTTTAGATGATCTATAAGTTAATCAAAATATAGAAGTCACCTAGAGCATGTAGAATAAGCTGTCTATGGATGCACAACACGGTGTTTATGAATTCTCAACACAATATTCACATGTGTCCAATTAATCTATAGGTTAATTAAAATATATGTCACGCAAAGCATGTACAACATAATGTTCGTAAATACATAACATGATGTTTATAGATTCTCAACATAATGTTCTCAATTATCTGGGTAAAAAGAGAAAAAAGAAAAAACTAGACTATGAGCTTCTAGCCTTCTACACATTCCCTAATTCCTTTATTCATAATAACTTGCCATTAAAGGTTTCTGGTTCCTGCAGTGATTCATGCACTCAACAGCTTCTGGATATCCTTCTGTAGATACCAAACACAGAAGATAATGCCATCAGTTTGACAAATTATAAAATGTTGAGTGATCACAGGTAAAAAGCATAATTTCATGAATCTAAAATCATATTTTTCTAAACATATCTAAACACCATGAATTCAAGACTATATCTTTCTTAAAAATATCCAAACACTTAAATAATAGCTTGTTTAGATATTTGTGAGAAAAAATTAATCATGAAACAAATTGATTAATAGAATTAATTTTGAATATAATTGATCAAGTCATATGATATAATTGGTTTATACAATTGATTAGTATGATTGGTTTTAAGAAAAATTGAAAAATAGAATTGAATATCAGTAAAATTATAGTTTTGTGAAAATATATCCAAAGAACTGTCTTCTTTCTACCTCAATGCTGAGAGGAGAGGTTGTGGGGGCATAACGGTCCACGACATTCCCATCTTTATCGACCAGGAATTTGGAGAAGTTCCATTTTATGCCGTCTCCGAACAGCCCACCTTTGCTTGATTTCAGATGCTTGTACAGTGGAGCAGCAGTATCTCCATTTACATCCACCTTATTTCATGAAGAGCACAATGCAAACATGATTGAACTATATCATGAACTGGACGATGATAGCTAAAGCATATAAAGTTAAAGTGAACATAAAATTAATCCTTCAAAATTTGCAATTAGTTATTATCACGTCTGTTGAGTTAGACTCTCGAAATAGATATGTATACTTTGGTCTGATGAAAGGGACCTAAAACTTGTAAAAGGTTATAAAATTTCAGGGACTACAACGGGTAAAGAAGTAATTTTTGAACTAAAACATTATAAGAAATCTTTCTTAGGAACAGAATAAGGTGTAATCTTTCAAATAATAACAGATGCGATCATTACTATGTAAGGTTAATCAAAATTAATTTTCTTTTTATCTTGTTTTTGGTTAAACTTATAAGGTTCTGAAAGCATGGTGATGAAGTCAATTTGATGCATCTTATAGCAAGAATGGATCAAGAGTTAAACACATCACACAACCAACAACAAACTGCAGGGGAATATATCATGGATGGAAACAAATGCTCTAGTGATCCCCCGGAGAGTTAGGCAGCTTAACTTTCTCAATATGAAACTCCAGGTTTGCTTTTTTCCTTTTACTTATTTTCCTTTTACATTCTTAATGCATGTTGGGTTAATTATATGGGGAAAAACTCAATTTCCAGCTGTCTTCGAATGGATAATTAGTATAGGTCAGCAGAAACAAACATAGGAGCCACACTGAAGAATATAACTGAAGCTTGAAATTTTGCATTCATGAAGCTATTGTCTAGATCTAAGAATATCCTCTGATCAAGAATATACGCATGAAGTAGATATACGCACATCATTACTACACAAATACCCCATACCTTATCAAAAATGGGAAACTCGGCTTTAAAGCGAGTACAAGCAAACTCAACTATCTGTTCATTATTTCCAGGCTCCTGTGCACCAAACTGATTGCAGGGGAAAGCCAGAATTTCAAAACCTGCATGAAGAAAAACAAAGTATTTAGAGCACAGTCAGCATCTTGACCTTAAACAGGATCTAAAAACTGGTACTTCGACCGCATGCACGCCCGCATGCACATATATGGGCTTGTATAACCAAACTTGAATTCCAAGTCAGTTCCAAGTATTGAATGGCCATCCTACTGAAAGAATAACAAAGAATGGCGAGGACAAAAGGAATGAAGAAGAAACAAGTACGAAGTAGAACATGACAAAATAAAAACCTTTTCCTTTGTATTTCTCGTACAATTGACCCAGCTCTGTGTAGTTAGAATTAGTCAAGCCACTGCGTCAAACAATTTAAAATATTAAAATTTGTAAAAGGAATGCAATAGGAGGAAAATTAACGGCAAAGACATTTATATATTTTAAAAATTAATTAGTCTAGAAACCATCTGAACATTAAAGGCAACTGCATAAATTCCTCGATGAGGATCCGTTCAATTTCTTTCCATAATTTTGTCAATTTTGGCAATTTCAAAGATAGATAAACACATAATATGAGAATTACTGTCCCGTGACATACTAGATAGAAGATGAAAGGGGAAAAACGAGTTTGAGAACACGGAGCTAACCATTGTGAGGCAACATTGACAATCAGAAGGACCTTTCCTTTGTAATCGCCGAGATTAACATCATTTCCCTTGGCATCCTGCAAGTAAAAGGTGAACCTCGTAAATCGAATATTCACTCTCAAATAGCCCTAAACAAGTCAATAATCTTAGGAAGCTAAAAGATTCAAAGCCGAATAATAACAAAAAAGCTTACATTAAAAAAAAAAAAAGTTATCAAAGTGACCAAAAGGCTCAGAGTAACTACATACTTTGACAGTGAAATCGTGGACTGATTTAGGATTGGATTGGGAAGCCATCGTGCGATCTGTTCTAAAAGCGAGAGACAAACGACTCAAAAGCCTTGATTGCACAAGGAGATTAGACGATGAAATCTGAGCAGGACCAAACAAGATTTGGTTAGCTGAGATTTGTTTTGACCAATGACGAGAAGCACAAAGAGAAGAAGCTACTCTTATATTTCTGCCGAACAAGTTGCGTATTGACGAAGCGAGCATTGAGACACATTCGCTAAAGCCACCTCAAATTTATAGCGTTCTGGTTAGCTTTCGCATCATTTCTTCTTACGGAATCACGGATGCAAGGGCGATGAAGAAAGTTTACACGTGGCAGCTTGATGTCTCTACACGTGGCAGACATTTTAGCCATGTGCTGCGTTCGAACGCAACAGAACTGGTTGGACGACGGTGGGGATCGTTTGCATCATCGGATACATCATCAATCTGTGTTGTTTTTTGTTTTTCTTTCCTTCCCTGTAAACCCAAAAAACATCAATTTCTTTATCCTTGTCTTATTCAGGATGTGAATGTGATCTACGCCTCTACGGCGGTCATCTGATGGACCACCCTAAGGCCTTATTTATATATATATATATATATATATATTTTAATATTTTAAGACTCAAATTTACCCAGATAATGAAATTAGTTACACCGTCACTCAAATATAAAAGTAACTTGATTAAACTTGTCAAATTGATTTCAGAGATTGGATTATTTTAGTCTATTTTGAATTAGGCGAATTTGATACAACTACAGTTATCTCGAGAACCAAAATGATTGATCCTTTTTTTTTTTTAATTCTTATTGTAGTCATGATTTTGTATATAATAAATCAATGTCAAACCATTTTTTGTTGGCTGTTAAAGTAGAATTATGATTTTTTTTATTGGGGGAATTTCACTTAAGAACCATGGTAGTGGCTTAATTATAGGTGGGTCTAAGAAAATTTTAAAATTTCAGTTTAATTTAAGGAAGAAAAGTCAAAAGAATTTCGATGGTAAAAAAATCAAAATACCCTTTACTTGTTATGTAAAATCACTAGTTATTAATTTTCTTACTTCATTTATTAATTTATCAACATTACTTGTAAATTGTATCTGTTTGTCAGACAATGAACAACAACAACAACAACAACAACAACAACAACAACAAGCCTTTATCCCACTAGGTGGGGTCGGCTACATGGATTGCAAGACGCCATTGTGCTCTATCATTTATCAAACTTTTAGGAATATTATTAATTAAGAGATCGCATTCAATAACTTCCAAGAGTGTTCTCTTAGGCCTTCCTCTACCTCTCTTAATCGGACTCAAAGTTATATATTCCACTCTTCTCACTGGTGCCTCCCTTGGTCTTCTTTGTACATGCCCAAATCATCTCAACCGATTTTCTACCATTTTTTCCTCAATAGGTGCCATCTTCACTTTTTCGCGTACGTGCTCATTTTGAATTTTATCTTTACGTGTATGTTCGCACATCCATCATAACATTCTCATCTCTGCTACTCCAACTTTATGCTCTTGCTGTCCCGTTAGAGCCTAGCATTTACTACTATATAACATTGCCAGTCTAATAGCAGTGCGATAAAACTTTCCTTTAAGTTTATTAGGCACCTTACGGTCGCAAATAACTCCTTTAGCTTTTCTCCAATTAAACCACCCAACTTGAATTCTATGTGAAATATCTTCACTGATTTCGCCATCATTTTGAATAATGGCTCCCAAATATCTAAACTTTTCCACTTGAGGTATAATTTAATCTCCCAATTTTACTTCCAAATTATTGTCGAATAGTCCTTACCAAATTTACAATATAAATATTCCGTTTTACTTCTACTCAGACGAAAACCTTTCGACTCCAATGTCCTCCTCCATAACTTAAGTTTGCAATTAACCTCTTCTCTTGTCTCTGCTATAAGAACTATATCATCCGCGAAAAGCATACATTTCGAAATTTTCCCTTGAATATGTTCCGTCAAAACATTTAAGATCAAGTTAAACAAATAAGGACTCAGAGATGATCCCTAATATAGTCCAATCTTTATAGGAAAATTTTTTGTTTGACTACTAGGCGTTCTTATAATAGTTTTTACCCCCTCATACATATCTTGTACAGTTTTAATATAAGCAATCCATACTCCCTTTTTTTCTAACACTTTCCAAAGCACTTCTCTTGGTATACGGTCATAAATTTTTTCCAAATCAATAAAAACCATGTGTAGATCTTTATCTTTATAACAATACTTTTCCATTAATCCCCTTAGTAGATAAATCGCCTCTGTAGTTGATCTACCTGGCATAAAACCAAACTGATTCTCAGAAATACTTGTTTCCAATCTCAATTTGTGCTCAATCACTTTCTCTCACAATTTCATTGTGTGGGCTCATGAGTTAATCCCTCTATAGTTAGTACAATTCTGAATATCTCCTTTATTTTTATAAATAGGAATTAATATACTTCTCCTCCACTCATCAGGCATTTTCTTGGACCGTAAAATCATATTAAATAACTTAGTTAACCATCTCACCCCTTCTTCACCTAAACATTTCCATGCTTCGATAGATATATAATCAGGTCCATTGGCTCTATCATTTGCCATTTTTTAAGAGCTTCCTTTACCTCCTTATCACGTACTATTCGATAGAATGACAAATTTTGTTCTCCTTCACCAGTTACTAAATCCTCCAAGTTACTAGATGAACCCTTCCATCATTGAAAAGTTTAGAAAAGTAAGTCTTCCATCTATTTTTAATTTCATCATCTGTAACTAAAGTTCTTCCCTCTTTATCCTTAATACACCTTACCTGTTCTAGATCTCTTGATTTTTTTCCCCTACTCTTGGCAATCTTATAAATATTTCGCTCTCCTTCCTTCGTCTCAAGGCTCTTATAAAATTCTTCAAAAGCTTTATAACGAGCTTCACCCACAGCTCTCTTAGTTTCCTTCTTAGCCATACAGTACTTCTCCTAATTTTCCTCATTGTTACACAAATGTATGGCTTTAAAACAGTTCTTCTTATACTTAATTTTGTCCTGTACACTATTATTCCACCACCAAGACTCCTTATCTCTCGGACCAGAACCTTTTGATTCTCTCAAAACTACTTTTGTAACCTCCCGTATCTTTTTAGCCATATCCTCTCACATGATGTTAGCACTTCCCTGAGATTCTCAAATTCCTTTATCTAAAAGATTCGCTTGAAAATATCTTGCTTCTCACCTTTTAATTGCCACCACCAATCCTTGGTGCTACTACTTGTCGACATGTTTGGATTTTACTCATAATACACACATCAAGGACTAGAACCCTATGTTGTGTCGTTACAGCATCTCCAGGGATCACCTTGCAATTTTTACAAAGTCTTCTATTTGTGTTCCTAACCAAAAGAAAATCAATCTGTGACTTTGAGGCTCCACTTTTGTAAGTGATGAGATGTTCATCTCTCTTCTTGAAACAAGTGTTGGCAATCTTAAAATCATACGCTAATGAGAAATCAAAAAGAGTTTGTCCTTCATTGTTTAGCTCTCCAAAACCAAAACCACCATGCACCTTCGCATACTGACCAGCTTCTCTCCCGACATGCCCATTAAAGTCTCCTCCAATAAAAATCTTTTCACTCTATGATATGTGTCGAATTAACCCCTCCAGATCCTCCCAAAATAATTTCTTAAGACTGGCTTTTGTCCCGACTTGCGGCTCATAAGTGCTAACAGATTTGTCTGACTGTTTGTTAGACAATCAGTAACATTAATTGTTAATTTGTTAACTTTGTAATTTATAATTGATGTTAGTAAATTACAAGACTTGTCAATAATCTATAACTAATATTAGTAAATTAATAAGTAAAGTTAGCATTTAATAAATGATGTTATACTTATGATTGAACATTGATATTAAGCCTTATATAATTATTAAACATATCAACTCATGTATTTGTAACTTATAGTAGTAAAATTAACAAGTTGAGTAAGAAGATTAACAATTAGTGATTATGCATGACAAGTGACAAATATTTTGGTCATTTCACCATCAAAATTCTTTTGATTTTTTTCCTCTAAATTGAACTGAAGTTTTAATTTTTTTTTTAGAATCTACCAATAATTAAGTCTTTGCAATGGTTTTCAACTAAAATCTCCATTTTTCATTTGAATTATATGAATTAAACTATTAAGAAAATTGAAAAATTATTTTCTTTAAAATAGAAATAGGATAAATAAAAATATACATATAAAAAATAAAAAAAATTAAATTTAATATGTTTAGCTAAACAACTTTTTTTTTGGGTGAATAGATGAACAACGTTTAATTAGGAACAATATTGCCAGCATTTTTAATATTTTATTTATATAAATGAATATAAAA